TATTTTGAAATGCTATAACATGGTTAGGAGCGAAGTGTACATAGTGATTTTTAAAGATTCAGATGAGAGTAGGGGCCGAAGTTGGCAAATATGGCTGCTAGTAATGGTTGAGGGTTGTCGGCAGTGATAACTGTAATGCGAGGATATTTTGGTCAATTTCACATATCGTGAAAGTCTGGAAGAGATGTCAACAACAGTATAAACTAAAAATGAGGTATACCAAACATCAAGGGTTAAAATGTCAGGTACACAATTCAACGATTTCGTTTGTGTTTATGTTGCCAATTTCTGATGTGAATTCAGCGGGCCGTCCCACCCTTCCTACGAGTCTCACCGACCCAGTTGCTTGCTATAGTTATATGATTTTAACATGCATGAATGAAAAAAAAACAAACATGAATGAATTCCATTTACATTTCCACAAAAAGGAAATTGAAGTTTTCATCTTCATTTCCCATTTGCTTTCAAAATCCACTTTCTTTCTTTCTTTCTTTCTTTCTCTCTTCCTTTTCCTTTTTTCCACCTTTATTTTGCTCTACAACTCACTCACAACCCTAAAGTTTGTCCCATTCTTTTCACAAGCCTGACTTTGTGTGAGCTTTGTCGCCTGTCACTCTCCCTCTTTTTAGCTCAAAGTCTTTCGATCGTAAACACGTCATACTCGTCCCTTCAACCTTTGGAGTGCAAATACTTTCCCCCAAAAGCCTTAAAAGGAATTATACTTTTAAACCAAATTAATCTAAGCATAGCACACCTGAACATTAGAGGCCTTTAATTTGATCAACGTTAAGAGTATGTCTCTCCATATGGTCGTATTAATAATAATCTTCTCCACTTTTAATCGGCATGGGACTATTATACTTTCATCCCAACATGAAATTACTCTTTAAATCTTGTCTAAACAAGACAGAAAAATAAGACGATGAAGGATAATAGTTGAAGAAGATGGAAGAACACATGGGTTTACCAGTGGAGGGAGGGAGCTTGATCAACAGAGCAGAAATTGCAAGGCTCCTCTGTATTAAACAAGCTTTGATCCTCATTCATGGCCTTCGTAAACTGAGTCTGATTCTCATAAACTTTCCTGGAAAGTTCAAAGGAATTCAACATCGAACTCAGAGAAGAGTTGTTATTAGTGGAAACAAATGAGTTCTTCTCATCTTTCAGTTCCCTTTGAATTTTCATCTTTGTTCCTTCTCTGCTTACTTTTTCCCTCAACTCTCTCACCTGCCAACGAATTTCCATTTCCATTTCAACATCAGATTAGAGCATCAAAAAGGCCAAAACCCAGTTTTCCAAATTGAAAATGGAGTTTATTTTCACTACCTTTGAAGCAAGAGAAGCATTTTCTTTCTCAAGAACATCATAATCCAGCTTAAGAGCATCGTAATTGGCTTTAAGAACTCCATAATCTCTCTCTAATTGCTTTGTTTTCCAACGGGCTCTGCGATTTTGAAACCAAATTGTTACTTGCCTTGGCTCGAGCTCTAATTCAGTAGCTATCTTCATTTTTCTCTCTGGTTCGAGCTTGTTTTCCACTTCAAAATGTCTCTCCAAGGCCTTCACTTGGTCCGGCTTCAGCCGGCGTTTTCTCTCTGGTGCCGAACCGCTGCTTCCACCGCCATCTTCACTGTTGTCTTCTTCCTCCAAACTGTCTAACATTGCCTGAAACTCCTTGCTGTAGCCGCCTATGGTGGTGGAGCTCGGTTGCTCTGAAAGAAAAACAGAGATCTTTTAGAATCCAAAAAAAAAAAAAAAAAAAACACATAATTTCCTTGCTGGGTATTTGGTTATGAGCATTATTTACCTTTAGGAGTGAAGATGGAACTGAAAGAATCCAAGGATTCTGAGCGATCAAATCTCATCATCATCACTGCAAATGAAGAAGATAACAAAAAACAGAGCAAATGGCGGAATTTTTATGGTGAAACCAAAATGATACTGCTTCTGTCTTTCTCAGCTTTCATTTCTCAATTTTTTTGAGACAGAGCCAAGCAATAGCTGAAAAGAAGTTCCTATGGAGGCTTTTTCTTAGCAAGTGGAATGGCAGAGAGAAAATAAAATAAAATGAAATGAAATGAAATTGAGATTTGTTTTTTGAATTATTGTCTAATCATTATGGATGAAATGAGTAAAGGAAAGTGAGTGAAAAATACAGTCTTTTTTGAAATGGTATACTAAGGGAATGGTGTGTAGGCTTTTCACCTCTTGTTGTTTTTATATAATCAGATTTATTCTCTTAAAAAGCTCTAAAAAAGCACCGCTTCTGCTTTCTAAATCGCTTTTTTGGGGAGGGTTCTGATCAAGGACCAGTTTTTAGCTTTGCTGGATTATGGATGGGTTGTGGCCTGGTTTTCCCTTTTGCCTTTTATCGTAGATAGACATTTATGACAACAGAATTGCCTTTTCTTTTCTAAATAAAAATATAATTAAAATAAGTTCACGAAAAATGACTGTCATAATGAAAAATTCTCATAAATCCTTAAATGCATGGTGATATCTATGGGATACCATAAGAATAAAAACATCTGAAAAAATTGAAATAAATTAATATCAAGTAGTCTGCTCAAACATTTAATAAAAATAATTATACAAACAAATATAGAATTAGTTTGAAATTTTGCTTTTCGAAGACTCTTGTCTCCTTGTTTAACACGTGCTAGACACATGCAGAGGATAAATTGTTATATAATTCCTGTAATTTTCATGGAATTATATGTAATTGCTAGTAGCCAATCTAGACATCAGTAAGTTTTTGGCACAAAGATTTTAATCCCCAAAACAAATAATATATAGAAAAAATTAAAAGCAATAATTGACACACACAAGAAATTTAGAAAAAACATGGAGAAAAAAGATGAAATAACCCAAAACGAGTAAATTCCGTACTATTTTCCACCTATCTATATTCGAATCATTTGTCGTGGTTGTAATTTACTTTACATCTATCTATCGTCAAACGACCATTGAGTCTTTTGAAAATTTGAACATTCAACTTTAGAAAAGATAATAACTGTTGAAAACTTGGGTATCTGACCACAAAAAAAATGGGATAAACAACCTAAGAGGGCTAGAGGAAGAGGGTTTCCCTACCCACAGAAAACTAAAGAGGAGATTTCCAGTTGTAAATAATTATGGAAAGGGTATAATTAAAAATGAGTTTCTTCTGAAAAAACATACCATCAAGACGAAGTGAGTTGTACTGTACACTTCTACAAAAAGACTCAAAAGAAGAAGACTTATCTTCGAACATGGGATGAGTCCTTTCCAACAAAAGATGTTAGGCGCACTCTAGCTGCGCAATTCCAACGGACTTCAGCCCGTTTAGATAAGCTCCAACCCCCAAGGACTTCTACTGCCAAATGCCAACGTGCTTGGGCATACAAACCGAAAGGCCAAGGATGTCAAGAAGGAAAGACCAAGCTTTGGTGGCAAAAGGACAACGTAGAAAGATGTGGTTAATGGACACTTCACTGTTTACATGTCCTTCGGAGGAGATTCTGTGTTTAAATTCCTCTGAGCTAAAGACCATAAGAACACCATGACTTTCTTTGGAATTCTAGACTTCCTTTTCGAGTGAAAGGGACCCTTGTCATCACCATCCCCCAGCAGACAACATAAAGCTTCTGGACTAACCCCAACCAACTATCAAGTTCCCTACCAAAAAACCCGCTGCTCAAGACCAAATCTCAGTCCCTTGAATCTTCTTTCTTGCAATTGACAATGGAAGCCTCATATACAAAATGTCCGGAAAAACAACCTTCAAAGTGTTTTCCCACAATCCATTTGTTCTTCCAAAACCTGATCTTTTTCCCCTAGACGAGCCTTGAAGTCCACAAAACTGAAAAAAAAAACACCTACTGTTGTTTGCAATTTCAAACCATGGCCTTCCTTTTGCAACTCCTTTCGGGGGAGGGTAGACCAATTGTGAGGGTCTTCACCATGATACTAGAAACCACCCTCTTCCGTAAAGCAAAGTTTTCTCGATTAAACCTCCACAGCTATTTGAAGAAGGGAATTGTTGTTTTGTTGAAAAGCCTCCATATTGAAGAGGGAGAGAAGCTTTTCCCCAATTTATTAAGTTCCTACAAGAACACTTCGAACTAATGCCACTTGAGAAGAAATTCCTAGCCATATTCTCAGTTTCATTTATGATTCTCTTTTGAGCTTTGAGGATGGAGAAATAGTACAGAGGAAGGCTATTTGTCACCGATTTTGCAAGAGTCCACCCACCACCCTTCGAAAAAGTACAATTCCTCCATTTATCAACCTTATTCCTGACCTTGTTGAACATAGGGTCCCAAAAAGTTTTGTTCTGAAAATTACCTCCCAAACGTATACCCAAATAGGAAAAAGGGAACCTTTCCACTCTTCATCCCAGCTCATTTGCATTTAACATCAAGATATCCTCTTAAATGTTGATGCCTATAAGAGAAGTTTTGGCCAAAATGAGGGAGAGACCCGAGAAAAAAACGGAAAAATTTAACCAATAACCACCAATTAGCAAGAAAACCATCCTCAGGGCAAAAAATGATGGTATCATCAGCATATTGTAAGTGGGAGATTTCCTCCTCTCTACGGCCCACGGCGAAGCCTCTAATGAATTTTCTCTGACAACAAAGGTGCACTAACCGGCTGAAGGAGTCTCCAATGAGAGTGAAAATAGGTTTTCAAATTCAACAGGACGTGTGACTCTTGAAAAGTTTGAAGGTTCACTCTTGCGCCAGGTCTTGGACTTCCCAAGAGGTTAGGGTACCGAACTTTAACCACGGGATAATTTTGACCATCTTTAACCCTCCCATATCCACTGGATTTGGGCTAGAACATCATTCCCTTTGCAAAAAAAATTCAGCAGCTTCCAGCGAGAAGCCTCTGTGAGCACCAAAATAACTTCTTTGATCAACAAGTTTCCATCTTCAAAAGAGACGATTTAAGCATGAAGAAAATGGTTGCCATGGATTGATCAACAAGTTTCCATCTTCAAAAGAGACGATTTAAGCATGAAGAAAATGGTTGCCATGGACTAACTGGAGTTCTGCAAGGATAAAACCACAATAATTTTCGTTTCTCTCTTAGAGCCACATCTAAGCAATCAATGAGGCAAGAATTAATATTTGATAGTCCACAAACCCCCCAGAGTATTGCCAATCGCCTTAAAAGTTGCCAGACTCCATAAATGAAGAGGCTCACCTTCACCCAATCCCCATACGAAGGTACAACGCTTCTTCTACCAGGAGTCTAAGAGTTTCAAACTTCCATCTTTCAAGTTAGAGGCCCAAAAGTGACCCGTCCTTTATTGGTCGCAAGGAGACAAACACAATCAGCAAGAAGACACCTCAAAAGGCTAAATCCGGCTGGAACAAATTGATGAAGAAAGAGTTTTAGGTTTGTCTTTGTAAGATCTCTAAAATCCTTGTCCAATCGTCATGAAAATCTCTGCAAGTAACGACAATGGTTTCTGCTCAGTTCGCCTCTCAAACATTCGTGTGTTTCTAGCTTCTTTCATTGTGGACCAAAAATTGTCGAGTTCAATCTTTGAGCTTTCTCAACAAACAGTCTTGTTTTCCGCTTTCTTCTCATCTTTCTCCCCTATTTCTGCAAAAGAAAAGTCTGGCACTACTGAATAACCTTTGAAACTTCACTCTCGACCTTCACTTTGTCCCTTCCATTCATGAAGACAAGAAGAAGCCACCAGAAAATGCCCGCCTACACAGGATTCGAGGGACCTCTATATTTCTTTAACCACTATAACTCAATAAAGTTGACCTCTATATTATAGTATAGGCCAAAACAATTAAAAAGATAAAAATTAGTTATACATCTATTTCTAAGACATAACAGGCGAGATCAAGTCTTCTGTAGTGAAAGACCAAACCCAATAAGAAAAAAATTACAGAACAAGCATTACTGATAGAAAGCGATCTACAGGAACTCCTACTTGTTTGAATTAGATAAGAGTATATGAAAGATTAGACAAATGAAATTAAATAAATGTGAATTAATAGTTATAGCTGCTAATGTATGGAAGAATTTCACAATAGTTCGTGTATGAAACAAAATTAGAAGGCATAGGCCTTAATATGCAGTAATAGCTAATGAAGCAGCATAGACGGCCAACAGAATCATGCTGCATTTTGGTGATCACGTGCAAAAAACTAGATTCTATTAGTGATAACTCCTTGAAGTGATAACCAAATAAAGCATACCTGACCAGGTTTGATGTTAATCCACGGATGAAGACAGAGGAGTACAACAGGAGATGTCGATACCAGCAACCTCCATAGCTTTGCAGACCCATTGCGACAGGAAAAAGGCATTACTAATAAAAACAATTTGACTACAAAATCAATGACAGAAAAAAGGCACCCACAATCCAACATCAAGAGGCAAAACGAAATAATACCTCGAAATGAAGCGCCACTAAACCAGTATTTCAACTTCACGTCCACGATTAGCCCTGCATTGAGTAGATAAATCGATAGATATAAATGAAAGTCATATGAAATAAGAACTCCATCAAATAACTGTGATCTCCATATTAGCTTGATGATTTTGTTAAAGAAGCGTATACCGAGACAGAGAAAGAGACTGAAGAAGGATTAAACATGCGTAAATTGGCAAAATGGTAGCCAATGAATTGAATAATATCATTACATGCCAAATTAATGGCCGATATCGCAGTGAAAACAAAATTGAAACCCTAACCAATTGATCTTCACTTCAACCAATTAAAATGTACAGTTCGATAAAGAACATACGATGAGAAAACAAAAATAGCGCGCGTACCGCCGCCGGCGGATTGCAAACCCTAAGGTGGACTGAGGCGCCGCCGGCAGCCCCTCTCCCTCGACTTCCGTTCCCGCGAATTGCAGCAGCCGATATGGTAGCGTGCGCGCGCACTCATCTTGTTTAATTTTTTTCTTGATAATATTTAATTAATAAAAATATTTTCTCTCGCTCCTTATCTCACAAATACTTTATTAATAATTTTTAAATTTTATTTTTAAAAATTTTAAAAATATCAGTCTTTTTTTTTTTTTAATTAAGAACCTAAAATTATTTTATTTTTATTTTTTTATAATTAAAAACTTCAACATTTGTATTAAATTTTAAAATTTAAATTTTAAAATAATTAGTTTATTAAATATAAAATAAAATTTGGCGTTAAACAAATAATTTAATGAGTTTGGGCGTGATGTTTGCATGGCCATCCATGATGAGACGATCGATTTGGAAAGAATAGAACATGTCGAACATATTTCGGGTCATAAACAATCCAAATCCGAACGAGCAATCCGAAGGATAAACGATCTTCGGGCCATTGGCGCAAGCTGTGAAGCGCCATCGGAATCAAACTCTTCGATTCTCAATCTCAATCCCAATTTCAAACTCCCACCTCATTTACCTACTGCAATACGAAGATCCATAATCTTTTCAGTGTAGAGCATGCTCATTACTGGCATTGGCAATCTACTCAACCGCTTGCTTGATCGGAATCTTAGGGAAGATACGCCAATCGTCGACCAAAGGTTGGAATCATTCATTTCTGTTTCATATCGTTTGATTTATATTCAATCTAGGAGCTGCTGCACGCTAAGCTTTTTACAGCTGACTGATCTTTTGATGTTCATAACATTAAGTTTGTTTCTCTTTGGTCGAAATCTGAACGGAAATGACTTACTTCTTCTGTTTATCGAATGGTTTTGGAATGTATCAGCATCCTCAAGGCTGTCCTCGATGGCATATCTCTGGTTAATTTTTACTTTTATTATTATTGTTATTATTATTTGCAGTTCTACGTGTTTGAAGCTCAATATTCAGTTCCAGGGAGTAGAATTGCGCTATTTGGAAAATGCAGCACATTCCAGCCACTCTCGAGGAACAGTTGTTACTGAAAGCAATCAAGGAAGAATGTTCTTGGGAGAGTCTCCCGAAACGGCTGCAAGCTACTCTGTCCTCCAAAGAAGATTGGCATAGAAGGTTAGAAACATGTGTTGGTCGTCTTTATGTTTTACCTTGACTCCTCCGGTGGTGCACTATGGAATAGATGTAGGTACGTCCCCTGTATCAGGAAACCAAAAGGTGTAAATTATCATAAATCGTCTTACAATTGAGGAATTTGCTCCCATGTGTTTCTTCACATTTCACTCATCCTACGAAATTTAGATATTTCAGACATTATTGGAAAGGTTAAAGTTTAAGTGCATTAGCCACCACAGATGATTTATGCCACACTCATGTAACGAGGTATCGTTAGCCAAAATGTTCCTAGTACAACCTTTGGGCAGACTTCGAGCTGTTATTTAGCTATAACTAAATCAGAAATAGTGCCCCTTTAAAATTTTAGTTCAAGGATTCTGGTTTATGGCTGTTCTATTGGATTTGGTTTTTGTCTCAAGCTACGGACTTATATACTGTTAGCATACACCCTTCCTTATAGAAATTTAGTCACCCTTCCTTAGAGAACACCAACTAGAGGCCAAGATTGTAACCATCTCCCAAAAAGTTATCATCTTCTTTAAAAGAATCTCCTATTTATTTCCACTCGCGATTTACGGAGAAGAGATTTTGATGCATAGATGCAAAGGGTTATCCTCTCTTACTTGAACGGATGTGTACAAAGAATTGGATTCAACACTTCTTTAGTGGTTTTAGGGAAACATTACCGGATGCCAAAAATGTAGAGCAAGACATACCACCGTTTAAAGGTGTCAGTTTAAGAATTAATGACCTATTCTATTCCCTTTTATGCACTAATTTGGTAAAAGTTGGATACTAGCGTACGTTTTTTTTAAAGTTTATTTAACCACTTGTATTGACTCCCCCAAGCATAAAGTGCAGATAAAAAAATTAACCATTATATACAGAGTTTAATACACAGAGATACATTTCCTGGTGTCAGGGGCATAGGAAATATGTGCTGGTGAAGTTACCTAAAACCTCTGATAACCACCTGATTTATTATAATTTATAAATTGAATTTTTTGCTTGTCAATATCCCCCATTTGTTTCTTCAACTTCGTTTTTCTGTGCCATTACTTTGTACTATAAATTATTTGGTCCAAAAACTATACTTCATGATCTCTACTGTTTGGAGTATTTCTGGCAGAGTCCTAGTGCTTGGGTTGGGAAGACTAATTTTATTCCACTTCATTTGTCAAATAAGAACACTTCACTTTTTATTTCTTCATTGAGATATATTTTCCTGTTTATAAAAGAAAATTTCGTTATTGTTTATTTCTTTTAAAAAAAAATTCTTTCTTGTTAATATATTTCCTTAAGGAACGCACATTCGGTATTCTCTAGTGTTTGAACATAAAGTGGCGATTTCCCTGTCACTTAACCAATTAAAAAGTTGTCTGGTTGGCAGCAGTTTAAATACTGGCAATTGACGGCATATAATGCTAAAAAATATGAGCATTATTAATCCAAGCTCTCCTGATTTATGAAATGGATCACTTTCTTCAATACTGATACATGCTAATTTCATGTAGGATTATTGACCACTGTATAAAGAAGAGACTCCAATGGAACACTAGTTTTGTTCGCAAAGTATGCAAAGAAAGTGAATATTATGATGATATGATGCGGTATCTGCGAAGGAACCTAGCGGTCTGTGTTGTAGCAAAAGTTCTCATATTATTTATTGATCCAGTACCGCCTTTGATGATTGCTAAAGTTCTACTGCAGTATAAATTTCTACTTATTAACTGTTGTCTTGTAAGGTATAACTATGGAAATTTTGTTCTCAGAGATGGTTGCAATGTTTTGAACTAGATAACATGTTTTAAACTTCTACCAACTTGGAGTATTGCCACACAAGGATTGTAAAAAGACTAGTATTTACCTATTATTCAAAAAACCATACATGCTGTAAAACGAAAACCTAGGTTTGTTGGGGCTCTAACTGATGGGTTGGATATAGTGGCAATAGTCCTTCTACTCAACCAAGTAGTTATGAGATAAAACCCTTTTGGGTCCATTCATTTATAATATTATCTCATGTATTTTGACCACAAATAGTTGGCAGTCTCTAATTCTTGACCTAATGAAGGTTGAGGGTCTCATGAAAGGAATTGTTTTTGTACAAAAAGGTTCTTTGGTATCTGAACTCTGTCAGAATTTATAGACAAGAAAACTACATTGGCATGCACACATGTCACCACCTGATTTAAATTTTATTTTACCCCTTAGTGTTTAAAACATGGACATTTTTCTTGCAGCTATTTCCTTATCACCTTGCGGAGTATGTTTGCCGTGTAATGAGAATATCACCTTTTAGATATTACTGCGATATGATATTTGAGGTCATGAAAAATGGTTAGTGCTTCCTTACAACTTATGCAATGCATTTACTTGGCGTGAGCCTATTATAAATTTATTAGTTAAGAATTAATTAAGTGTACTATACCACGTTTATAAGAATTGATCCTGTCGTAATCTAGTAGCTAAAACCTGAGGTATGTGATAATTCACCATGGTATGAGTGTAGGTGATTTTGAATTCAGATATTTGCTTTCATGTTCCTTCCCCATTTTGACATAATTGTATGAATGGTGCACATTATGAATTCAAGTAATATTGGAGCCTGCCAATAATTGACAGGACATCTTATATATTGAATGGAATTAATTTGCATGACATAGATTAAACCATGGTCGTGGAGAACCCCTAAAGGACCCAAACATCTTTTTGAGTTTACAAGTTACTGAACTTTGTAGGGTTGTAAAGTCGTTCAAACTTTAAGCTTAGAGATCATTAATAGTTTTGTAGAACCTTTCTACCATTAATTTGATGTAGGCTAAACTTTAGTTCCTGGAGTTTCACTAAATCTCTTTTTCCAATTACTATCTTTCTTATAATACATGGTGGTCCTAAATTGATTCTGTCACACCTTAGGGACTTGTTTTTTCTTGAAAGTTGAGGAAGTCATGATTTCTGATAGTTACTGTGACTTGATAAAATTAATGTTAATATCAAATCAAGGGAATTGTTATGTTTTGAAGGAACAGATATGATTCTCTGCTTTATCCCTTGTTCAGCATCCTATATCCTTTTGATGGCTTTAGATTATTATTGTGACTTGATAGTTTCCACATGCTTTTCTTTCCTTGCAGAGAACCCTTATGATAGCATCCCAAATTTCAGTGCGGCTGATGCACTGCGGTTGACTGGAATTGGAAGGAATGAATTTATTGATATCATGAATAAGTGTAGATCCAAGGTACTAGATATTTGTTTGTGTGTTTTGTATTTATGGTTCATAATCGGGACTTGTTTAGCTTCAGTGTTCTTTTTCATGCTCTTTGACATCTGCTACTAGCACATCTTTTGCAAACATATTGTAAGTACACAATACCTACAGACCTCACAGAGCCACTGCCAAAAACTAGTAGAAATTTTCTTTAATATGGAAAGGACCAAGTATGTATTAGAGATGTTCCATGCCTTTATATCCATGTTCTCTACAGATGCACCCTTGTCGGCAGAAAGCCATAAATTTTCATTTAATTTATTATGTACATTTACAATGGTATTGTCGTTTTTCCACCTGCAAATATTGGATTGTGTTCACATCACATGTGAAGCTTTTTTTAATCATTCGTCTGCATTGAGATTGTTTGTACATTAATATCCTTTTCTTCCTTTGAGAAATCCAGAAAATTATGTGGAAGCTAAACAAGTCAATTGCAAGAGAACTTTTACCAAGTCAACCTATTGATTTTGTTGTCGATCCATGGTGGGGAGTTTGTCTTGTAAACTTCACGTTGGAAGAATTTAAGGTGAATTTTCAAATCAATCTTAGTTCCATGTTCAAATTTGTGCTGTAGTGTGCAACAAACAATTTTTAAAAAAAATTATAAATATGGCAATGCATAAATGATTTTCTTTTCTATTTTCCGTCATTTGATTTGAATATTTGCTTTTTTAACAAAAATGTAGAAACTCTCAGAAGAAGAAATGGCAACTATTGACAAAGTTTGTAAGGAGGAGGCTAATTCATTTATTCTCTTCGACCCAGACATTGTAAAAGGTCTCTACAGAAGGGGATTGATCTACTTTGACGTTCCTGTTTATCCAGATGATCGTTTTAAGGGTAAGCAATCAAGTTTCAAACATATGTTTATTTAATTGGATTAGATGATGGATGAGTTTCTTTAATTCGATGTTATTCGTGTAAGACATTTTTCTGGACTGACACCTGAAAGACCTTCGATTAGTGTATGGACTGTGTATCTCATATTGATTTTCGAAGTCATATCTGCTGACTGCTGGTTTATCTCATACAAGCATACGTTCATGCCATACAATTCTTTGGCTACTACTGCTGTTCGTTTGAGCTTCTTTACAAAAATTATAAAATGTTTTTTTTCAGTATCGTCTTGTATATGTGTCAAGTTTCGTGGTTTGACAATATAATAACAGTTTTGCAGTCTTAAACTTAGCTTGTAGACTTTTTGTTAATCTAAATTGTTGCTGTGTACTGGAAAAAGTTACACTTAATAATAAGTATAAATTGGCACATTGGCCTTATTGGAACCACTCCTATGTAAGAGGCGATGAATTGGAGATGCTAATGCTTTAAGTGATACAGTTTCAAGACTTGAAGGGTTTGTTTCCAACCGAGAACAATCCTACGAAGACCCGATTGAGGAGTAAGGCAATTATCTGCTGCAGCCTGTTTCTTTTTAGTATTACTTATCTGAGTGGGCTTTATGAAGAAAAGTCAATTTTTCAGGTTATTGTATGCAGTTTTTGTTGTTTCAAGTGAAAATGCAACTGTGGCTGAACTGGCAGCGACATTACAGGCTGACCTATTGCAGCTTCAGGCTGCTGCATCTTTTGCTTGTAGATTGGGATGGGCAGTAAAAGTAATTGATCCAGCATCCGTTCTTCAAGATACAAGCATACCTAACTCTCCTAGAACAGTTTTTGGTGATGAAGATGGTTCTCTAGCTGCTTCAGGTTCATCAAACATGCTTTCTGATGGCGATGGTTCTCAGCAAGGGTATTCCGGGACAGATAGTTTGGGACCAGATTGTGCTCATCGCGTTGCTTTTGTAGTAGATGCTAATATAACATCATATCTCATGATGGGGTCTGTTTCACCAGGTCTGTCTTTTAGCTTCCCCAGGTTTGTCTTTTAGCTTTTCAGTGGTGTTTTTTTTAATATAATTTGCTACTAATTTATAACTTTTATATTAGTAATAATATTATTATTACTAATTTTACTTTTATTTGTACAAAACATAGTTTCTTTTTCCTCTTCATCTTTAGAATCAAACATTTATGGAAAGAAACGAAACAACAACCAAGAGAAGTAAAACTAAATGTTCTACAAAAGAATTGAAAAGCTGGCTTGGACAACTGAGACTTTATCTGTGAGATAGGACAAACCCTTTGCCATTAACTGAGACTTCGGTATCAAATGCCTAAGGAATATAAAGCCTTTGTTTTACTTATTGCATTGGATGGGCTACCTGTATGGATGACTTGATGACCTAAGTTTGTGTGGACAGCGTGTCTATTATTATGATTTGAAAGAGAGTAATTTTGGTGATTCCAAATCCAAAATGGGAAGCACAATAGTTTAATGTAATTGGAAATACTCTTAATTGGTGGCTCCGAAACTTCCAAAACCAAAATTTTCTTGTGGTTATGTCACTAAAACTGATTACGTTCTCTTTATTTATGAATGTACAGTTTTTAATTTATTGCAATCCCTCAGTTCCCTATATCAAGATGGACTATCTTGAGGGAGGGACGACATTAACTTCCTTTTCCATATTTCCAGTTCGGAGTCCTAAATTACTGGATATCTCTTAAACTACTGTATTTTTTGCTTAAGCAGCATTATGAACCATGCAATTGAATATTGGTCAAACATTTGGCGTAGGAAAGTATGGTGGTAATGTTGATATATGACATTGTGTATAAAGTTAGTTAAACAACATGTACAACTTGCCTTCCATCTTCTTCTACGCCTATTTCACTTTCCCGTAGCAGCCTTAATTAGGGTTGTCCTCGTATATGGATAAATATTGGGCCGCCATGATATCTTTATGACCTACTTTGTAATATATTTTGCTTTATATTTACTTATGAGGAAATGTAAGCTTATGCATTTGGAATCCTTATTGTTGCTGTTAATTTGTTGGATCAGGACTGAAATCCCATGCTGTAACCTTGTATGAAGCTGGAAAACTAGGCCATGCTTGCATTGCAGATCTTTGCAAAGATCTAACTACCTTAGAAGGAGCAAAGTTTGAGGGTGGACTGCAGGAATTTGCAAACCATGCATTTAGCCTACGTTGTGTTTTAGAATGTTTATTGGTAGGTGGAGTTGCCATTAATGCGAAAGGAGAGGAGGGAATCTTTGATAAACTAGATGCACAAGCTTCTGACAACAATGAATCTTCGTCTTTGGTAACAGACACTTCTTCAGGTGAAAAGTTAGAATACTCGACTACTGATGATCAGAAATGTTCCGCAGTGCTACTTAAGGGTTCTGCCTCATCCGAATCTCTTAAAAACAGCGTTGGTGATGATATGAACTCTGCTAATTGTTTAAATGGTAGGACTTCCTTTAGTCAAGCATCGGACCCAGTTCCTCATCTCCAAATCGATAATAAATCAACTCAGATTGATGAGCTAGATATTGGAGAATCACTCAAGAGAATAAAGAAATATCAAGTTGATATTCTTCGCTGTGAAAGCTTGGCTTCTCTTGCTCCTTCAACATTAAATCGGTTGTTTCTTCGTGACTATGATGTTGTTGTCTCTATGATTCCTCTTCCTCCATCATCAATTCTTCCAGGACCAACAGGCCCTATCCATTTTGGTCCTCCATCTTATTCATCTATCACACCTTGGATGAAATTGGTTTTATATTCAACTGTAGCCAGTGGGCCACTTTCAGTTATACTAATGAAAGGGCAATGCCTGCGTATGCTTCCTGCACCATTGGCTGGATGTGAGAAAGCCTTAATATGGTCTTGGGGTGGTTCCAATATTGGTGGCCTGGGAGGAAAATTTGAAGGCAATTTTGTAAAAGGAAGCGTACTTTTACATTGTTTAAACGCACTTCTCAAATACGCGGCTGTGTTGGTGCAGCCCCTCAGTAAATATGATATTGATAAAAACGGGAAAGCCATTACCGTTGATGTTCCTTTACCCTTAAAGAATTCTGATGGCTCAATTACTCAAGTAGGTAATGATCTGGATCTATCTAAAGAAGAGATTTCCGGCGTGAACTCCTTGTTAATTGTTGTAGCAAAGAAGATAGAACTGTGGGCAGTTGGTTATATTCGGCTGTTGAAGCTCTTCAAAGAAAGGGAGTCGGAAAACTTTTCTTCGGATGACACGAACTATGAATGGGTACCATTGAGTGTTGAATTTGGAATACCACTTTTTAGTCCCAAGTTATGTGACAATATTTGTAGAAGAGTGGTCTCATCTGAATTACTTCAGTCAGATTTACGGCATAAGCATCATGAAGCAATGCAAGGGTTGAGAAAGAGATTGCGTGATGTTTGTTCGGAATACCAAGCAACAGGTCCAGCTGCAAGACTTTTGTATCAGAAGGAGCAACCTAAAGAACTTTCCAAACAACTCCTGAACTATGCTAGTGGAAGGTGGAATCCACTAGTGGATCCTTCTTCTCCCATTTCAGGAGCTGCGAACGAACATCAGAGGCTAAAGCTTGCTAATCGGCATCGCTGTTGCACGGAAGTTTTGAGTTTTGATGGTACCATTCTTAGGTCTGTCTACATTTCCCATTACTTATGTTACACAATGTTTAGATCGAGGTGCACGTGGGTACAGTTTTAAGCATGCTCCTTGGATTGCATATGCTTATTGATTAGAAAGAGTCTCTGCTAAGCTTCCTGAACCAGAAAATTTGGAGACGAATAAGAATGTTTCATAGAACTCTGATAACTGCATCCATTTGACATGTTTATTATAAGAAACGGAGAAGAGGGCACAGCCTAAGGGCAAGGGGTGAGAAATCCCTCGCCACCAAACAACTATACAAGCATACCTTCCCAACAATACATGACCTGAGTTAGGCTAGACTTCCAAAATAAATCCGTGTCTAAGGCCTCAACCATTCAGTGCTTCCAACACCTACCTCTAAACCCAAAAGCCTTTAAAGTCTGCTCCCACCCTATCATACATTCATCTCAGAATAAGATGGTCCAAGCCTTCCTCACCATTAAAGCATAACAGAGACTGAGAGAGAGACTAAACTTACTAAACTTTCCTTCTTAGATTTACAAACACATAATCTCTCCCCCCTCAACGAAGGCTTGGGTATCACTAATGATAAATGTATCCCTTGTCTCTTCGTCGTTAAGTCACCAACTTCTTAAGACCTTCTAGTCTCGTTTCATAACTCTGTTAGTTTCGACTTCTGTGAGTTGGAATTTCTTTAAAACTTGATTTATTACTGCTAGTTTCAACTTCTGAGATCGACTAACGTTGGAATCGTCACGAGTTGATCCATTCATACAAACCTGCTGTTAGATGAGACACTTATTTTTTAATTATGAATTTACTCAGTAGTTCTATATATTATATATGTATGGGGAGGGGTAGGAAACTATCTTTTAGTATAAAGGTTTGATAATGGTGGGTGGTGATGTCTTCAATGACATTGCATTTTCTGCTTTTTTTATTCACTCTCCAAAGTGTCCTAACAAAGTATTAGGTAAACACTGAGGAGGGATTGTCACCATGATTGTAGGCAGCTGCAAAGGCAATAATTTTACGGTATCATGCACTAATAGTATGAATGATATTTTCAGATCCTACGCTTTGGCGCCCGGGTATGAGGCTGCCACAAGGCCAATAGAGGAAGCCCTTCCTAATTCGAAAGGAGAATCAGATGAAACCGACAGCAAGGAAGTAGTACTCCCTGGTGTGAATATGATTTTCGATGGTACCGAGTTACATCCATTCGATATAGGTGCTTGCCAGCAGGCTCGTCAACCAATTGCCTTAGTAGCAGAAGCAGCAGCAGCCTCAGCAGCTGCAACTAAATAGGCTTTGCAGCCATTGACATTTTCTTGGGTAGAAGAATAGACAAGGTAATGCAACTGAGAATATATTTAATTTGATTCTTTCATATGTTTCATCCTTGGGGCAACTAAACTCAATGAAAGTTCGAGATTAGGTCCGAGGTAATGATTACCGTTACTTTGTTGGTGTATCGTACCCATCTCGAGCTTCTTGCCCTGGGGTGCATATATAGTTACCACTGTTTGTTAATGTATCCATGATTCCATTAGAGTAGAGATCTTGAACTGATCAAAGCTATCATATTGTGGTTGCTTGCTTTTTAAGCCACTTATTTATTCATGAGATTTTCCATGATGGCAGCAGTTTTGAAGAGATCAGTTAATGTGTAAACAGGTGCTTTAATTCCAAGTTTTAACATATTATTTCTGCTTTTTATTTATTTTTTAAAATTTAATATATAAGGAAGGGTGATTTCGAATCTCTAACCACTTGATTGAAGATACGTATCTTTATTGATTAAACTATACTCACGTTGATAACGATTGACAATGCATTCTACTAAATTCAAGTAGAGACAAACGCATTTCAAAAGACTTTGTTCTTGACCTTTTTTTTAGAATAACATCTTGATTCGACGACTCGTCTTCCTTTCCTTCAAAATTCACTCGGCTAGGTGTGAGTGTTTAAATATATTATATATTGATAAGCCAGTGTAGAAGTAGCACGCTCTTCTTCTCTCGTCTTCAACCTTTGCAACTCAAACTTCCCTTCCACCTTCCATTTTCTCCTCTCTTCTTCGCCGCTGTCTTCATGGCTATGGCTTCCTCCAAAGTTGTCGTCCTTGTCCTCTTGTGAAATTAGTATTTTATGGATTAAGCTAGGTCTAATCGATAATTAATATTTTAGTTATTGAGTCGAATGCTAGAAATTAAAAAAATTGAATAAATAAATAAATCTTGCCATTTTAGCTAAGAGACAATTATTAATTTATTTAATAAAGAAGGCAAAATTAATTTAAAAATTCTTACAAGTGAAAAATAAACCAACCGACCACCTCAATAAGAACAAATGAAAACGCGAATCAAAACGACGGCGTATAATCACATAAAAACATATCTCAAGTCTCTCCGCCAAATTCATATATAAACTCAATTTCTTAATAGCCTGAAGCCAACACCCACGAACCTACCAAAATTGCCAAAATTGACACGTAGAAATTCGGGAGAACAGACGACCCTGAATTCGACGAACCTGCTGGAAGCTGCTTTGTAGGCGTGGTGGTCGCCGGCGTGGCTCCGGTGACTGAAGGGGTGTCCCTTGCCGGTGACGCTGGAGTGGTGGAGCTGTCGTCCCCTGACGATGGAGAAGTGGACGGTCCTCCGGCGCCGACTGTGACGGAGAGTTTCATGCCGCCGTCGCAATGCCCCATGGAGCTGCAAATGAAGTAGTGGGTTCCGGCAGTTTTTAAGGTGATGGTGGTGGAGCCTGAACTATCGGAAGTTATGGAGTTTCCAGCCGTGCATGCTTTGTAGTCACTGGCGGTAACTTCGTCCACTGTGTGCCCTTCTCCATAGCTGAACGCTGTCATGAAGAGATTTGAGAAGGAAAATAAGCAAATACAGATGCACGAAAGGTGTTCGACGTTAATCCCATGAGAAAAACAAATGAATACAATCAAAAATACAAATGCACAAAAGATGTTCGACATTATTCCCATGAGAAAAACGGATGAAAAAAAGTAAGCAAACCAAGTTTGTCGCCGATGACAAAGGCCTTCCCAGAGGCCCATGTGCCATAATCAACGCCAAGGGACCAGCCGGAAGTATCTCCGACGGTGTGAACTGTGGCCAAGTTCGGCTGCACCATGCAGAACCCAAGTGCCAGGAGGCAAACAAATCCGGCATGGAAGCTAGCCATTTGAAGGTAATTACTCTTAACAAAAATGCTATGCATTAGAATAGAGTGGGCAAGAGAAAGATTTCAGGATAGAAACAGAGGATTGAAGGCTTTACATATATATAGTGGGGAAGAAGTTTGGTCCTAATGCAAATAATTTTGGTTATGTGGGGGATGACTTAAGTTATACTCTTTACCTAACACTTTTAGCAAGTGCTTTTCACTTGATAATGGTAATTTTAGGAACTTAGTTCTTCTTCATATAAAGAAAGTTTGAATTCAATCTAGCTGTTTGAAGCCATTAAAGTATACCTACAAGGATATGAACAGTATTTGTTAGACATTTATCGACAGAGTCATTATAGTTAAGCCTTAAATTTAGCTTACCATATCTTGAAGGAACCATTTCTTCTGTTGAGCTGTTGGACGACAAAGAGAGTGAATTGTGTAAGCATAGCCAAGAAGGTCAATTACTTTACATGTATTTTGGACCAAATTTCTTTGCACGAGTCAATGGTGTTGTGTGTGCAAATGAAGAAATGCATGTGAAGCTAGCTCGGTTTTGTTTGTCTAGACAATGATAGTGCGACTCTATAGCTTCTTTAATAAACGCTCCAATGCAATCCATAGAAACTCAAGGAATCCCTTGATGGATAAGTTGGACGACGTAGGCCATTTGTCTAATCAAAAAGTTCACTTTCATGGCTTTAGTGGGTCACTCAATAGGATCTTTCAGACGTCTCGTTTTTTGGGACTTTGAAATCCGGGGACTTTGTTCCCGAAACTCCCTTCCTCACAAGGTCACAAAGTCCTATCAAAAGAAGAGATCTGGTATATGATAATCTAAGTCTTGCTTCTTTTGGTCGGCTTGTATTAGCGTAGATCCAGTTGATTGATGGAAGAAACACCAAACATATAGCTTTACTGCCATTTCCTTGGCTCAATGTTGCCATTGTTGTGGTAGAAAGTCTTGGGGATTGGACTTGAGAAAGTGATTGAAAAGATACCATTGCCATGGCCTTAAACAACATAATATAATGAATGCTTCAAGTCTACTAAACCCATCAAAGTATATATCTCAACGAAGAATTAGCTGTCCATTTTCATGGCCCTATGGAAAAAGATACTTCCTTTCCATTTTAAATTCAAGGTCAGATACTTAGAGAAATTATTCATCAAATCCTGCTTGAGATATTGTCACTATTCCAACTAGAAATCTTGTCGACCAATCCTGATTAACCTGTTTTCTTTTCCACAAAGATACAAACAGAGGTGAGAGAACACTTGAATCTTGAATGAAAATTCTGAACTAACCAAATTCTGACAATTGAGCTCTTACAATTTAGACATCTTGATGAACTTTAAACTTTAGCCTGAGAATAGAAATGTAGTTGGTTATGATTTAACATTCCACCCAACAAAGAAGAGCCTAAAAGTAAAAGGACCAAAGGAAGTCATCATAAGGAAGATGAAAGGTTTGCATTAATGTGGTTTGGTTCTACCATCCCGGCATTTCCATTACCACAACTCCACATGAGTTCGGGCTTCATTGGGGCCCGTTGGCCTCAAGCCAACCACCCCAATATTCCCTACAGAGAATTCGAACTTCTAACCTTTTGTTTGAAAATATATGTTTGATATTTGTCTAATCAGTAGAATTGTATAGAGATTGTTTAGATTGACATCAGTAATAGAATTATGTTACCTAATGCAAAGGCAATCTTTCCGAGGATGGTTTGAACTGGATATCAAACTAAATGGGAAATCATATGTTTAAGGGCAATCAACATTTGTCAGTCATTTTTTGCTAGCTCAAGATGATGAACACAACTAGAACTATACTCATACCCCTATTGGATTAACAGAGATCACTAGAGGGAGAAGCATTAGGTTTCAAGGATGCTTTTCAACCTCAACTTTGTGGAAGATTACACGTTTTTTCTTTATCGAGCATGTCTTCCTGCAGAGATCAAAAATTCAGAATTGTGAAGTTTAAAATCAATCAGCAACTCTCTTTCTGAATGAAAACACTCGTTACCTTCAAATTTCAAGATCAAGAACATTCTTGCAAGAGAATGCACATGTAGGCTATATATACCGTCTACTTTCTTCTTGTCCTTCAATATTGGAAGAGAATAGTTAGGCAAGTATGGCCTAAGGAGTATGAACTCGGTCCCAACACGAAGCTAATATAATTTTATACAAGAAAATTTGACATAATTAGCACGCAGTACACGACTTTGTATTCGTCGAAGTTTGAGAATATTCATACAAAAGTTAGGGTACTAAGAACATCAAAGAAGATAACAATGACGCAAAACAAGAAATGATTCCACACCTAACAATATGTCACCTGAAAAGAAGAAAAGGAGAAGAGAAAGAGAACAGAGAGACAATAATGTAATATGAAGAATTCATGAAGTTCTAAAGAACAAGGTTGAACAACTTATCATGGCGTGAAAAAGAACAAACAATCAACACTGCAGTGGAAGATAATATCTGGCATCTTCACTACTTGCTCCGGACAGAGAAACCACATAACATAGTTCAAATAACAGAATGAAGCAATGAAATTCAAGAACTCGACGCCCGTTGCCTCTTCACACTGAGGGGTTTGCCAACATTCATGAATTGACTACTTAAAGCATATAAAGCAATCAACCAAACAAACAAATCGCAGACGGTTGCTTAATGTTCTCGATTAGTACAGTACTGCAATTATGAGATATAGTACACATGAATGTGAATTCAAGTACAATACTGCGACCATGCAAACAAAAATGCATATTGTAATTGCATTCTCCCACCGACCTATTCTATATAAAGAAAATAAGTAAAGATCAAATTGCACCGATTGTCCTTGTTCATGAATTAGCACAATACTGTGTGTTCAAAATAGTAACTCCGACTGAGCCTAAACGTTCTTCGGGGAGAACATTGAAAGACAGAAAAAAAGGGACAGCTCAGGGAAATGAGGCTTTATTTCGATAAATAAGAATAATGTGAGATCGCACATCGGTTGGAGAAGGGGAACGAAACATTCTTTATAAGTATGTGGAAATCTCTCCCTAGTAGACACGTTTTAAAACTTTGAGGGAAAGCGCGAGAGGGAAAATAGAGAATGAAGCATTCTTTATACGTATGTGGTAGTTTCTCCCAGACGCGTTTTAAAACCTTGAGGGAAAGTCTGAAAGGAAAAGCGGAGAACGAAGCATTCCTTATAAGTATGTGAAAACCTCTCCCTAGTAGATGTGTTTTAAAACCTTGAGGGGAAGCTCGAAAGGGAAAGCGAAGAACGAAGTATTCCTTATAAGTATGTAGAAACCTCTCTCTAGTAGATGCATTTTAAAACCTTGAGGGAAAGCCCGAAAGGGAAAGCGGAGAACGAAGCATTTCTTATAAGTATGTGGAAATCTCTCCCTAGTAGACACATTTTAAAACCTTGAGGGGAAGCCCAAAAGGAAAAGCACAAGGAGAACAATATTTGCTAGCAGTGGGATTTGGCGGTTACAAAAAAGGATTAAAGAAAACCGTCTTACTCTACTCGAGGGTAATGAATCAACAGAGAAAAGGTTGAAATAAATGAGGACACTAATATGTGATCTAATATACACTCGTTAATCCATATGGATTTTCAGTAACGTGCGCTTTCTGTTGGGGAATCCAACTTTGAATCCTTTAAACATAAGAGGAGAACTAGATAGCATTACCTACAAAACAAAGAAAATGGAAGAAGAAGAAGAAAGAAAGGTTGATGACAAACTGTTTCGTTCTACCACGAGACGACCACGTATTTTAAACTTCAGCAGCAGCATTAGATAGCACCATGCCATCAGTTGATGTAACTTCAGATTGAGATTTCTCTTCAGGAAGTTTCACAAACTGCTTACTACGTGCAACACGAAGTGCTCTTCCCATGAAAATCTGCAATTCAAACAGATGAAGAACCATAAGAATGCTGATATACACTGTTCTTGAGGCTAAAAAATAAGTAGTAACACCTGAAATTACCTTCCCTTGGAACTCAGAAAGAGCTGCTTCAGCATCCCTTTTGGTTTTGAAGGCAACAAAACCATATCCAGAAGACCTTCTTGGATTCTCATGAAAAATAATTTGTGCAGAAACTAAATTACCACTCCCTGAATCAAAGAACTCCCTAAGGTCCTTTGCTCTTGCTTCAAATGATAAATTAGCCACAAACAAATTGAACGTAACTGGTTTTGGCTTCACGGTAGGGGAGGGTTTCTCTTTTTTAAGCTTAGCATAATTGAGCTTTAGAGTACGACCCTCAAATTCCTGCATTTATGGAATCCAACAAGAGTTCAAAATGCTTCAATCCGAAGTAATAAAGTGATGAAAATTTTTAGCCAAACGCAATGAATTTCTACTACGACTGTTCTTCCATGATCGAGCGTAAACATTGTTGTAAGCCTCAATTACGCAACAGAACACAATAAGCTAAACAAAACAAAAATCGTAATCAAGATAAACATCAGTCTGCTTACATACGATTCGAGATTATTGAGTGCTGCAAGAGCTTCTTCAGGTGATCTCATCGTTACAAACGCCAATCCCCTGTTTCTGATCTTGTTATACATTGAAAGCTGAGAGAAAGAGGACCGATAATCAATTCGCAATAAACTAAAACCGTCAAACAATAAACTAGAATGGACATACCTCCACGTCCAGAACAGTACCAAATTTCTCGAACAGAGAACGAATATCCTCAGGAGTAGAATTCCAAGGCACGTTCTGAGCAAGCAATCTGGTTCGAGAAAATTCCTCAGTATCAGAAGGAGAGCTCGCTACTGCATCGTCTTGGGAGGTTGAAGCGAAATGGAAAATCAACCTCCTAGATTTGTTACCTTCAGTGAAAATGAAGGGATTGTGGTCAAAGGAAGTAGAAAGAAGAGAGGAAGAAGAGCGATAAAGAGAGAGATTGATGTCGCCATTGATGGAAGAAGATGGATTTTGCGAACACGAGAGAGGTGCGAGAAAGATCGGATGCTGTTGTTTAGAGCGGAGGAAAGTGGAAGATGAAGAACAAGGAAGGCGAACCAGAGCCATTGCTGGGATATTATTCACCGCTCTCCGTTCAGTTTCTTCCGGTTTGAAAGCAACACAGAGCTACGCCATGGATTTGGATAAGGAAGCTCGGAAAAGGTTAAAAACGTCGACGTTTTGATATTTAGCCAATATTTAGATACTTCCGTTTAATTTTCCCTCGTAAAATGCAGTGACCACTTAATTGTTTCTTTAGGGTAATTTTATCTTTTATCCGTCACTGACATTTTGAATTCTTTAAATTTGTATAATCTATTTTCAAATTAACCCTCCAAATAATCAGGGTATAAGAACAAATTAAAAAAAATGTGCGTGCATATGCATATATATATTCTTTTTAAAGGAATTCAAGTTATATATATATATAATCTATAATTGTTCTTATGCATTTGAAATTTAAAAAATAAATAATAAATAGTTGAATTTTCAAGTATATATATTATATACATATATTTCTACTAATGCAAAAATCCACATTTGATACTTGAATGCTCGGATTAATAACCCGCAAGGCGACCAAATGAAAGGGAATAGCACCGAGCAAATCTTCTAGGGGAAAGGAAAGTATAGTGGGTTTTCTTTCCAAGACCGAATAAGTTAACATTTATTCAGGAAACCAAGGTTTCGTTAATGTTCAAAGAAAACGTACGTGTGTGTGTGTGTGTGTGTGTGTGTGTGTATATATATATATATATATATAAGTGAGATAAAGCGTGAGCGAAGAATATAATCTCGTAACCAACCTTATTTGGTTATTGGGAGAAATTTCTCTCCACTATCTCCCTAATTTGAAACTCGTGCAAGATGATTTCAAGTATATAGCAAGTTGATTTCAACCCACCGACCAAGCTTAAACATCTGTTCTTTTTCTTCTTTATTATGAATGAAGAATTGAAGGAAGTGATGGAACCGAATCGGTTAACAAGCCACATAAGCCACATAAGCAGCTAACAAGTTCAGTCAGCTTCCCGTCTGTTCCTATCCTATCTGTTATACTTCAAAACTCAAAGACTAAAATGTCGACTAGACAACAGGTCAAAAACTTGAATCTCCCACTCCAACACGGCTAAACTAAAAAAAAAAACACGTAGGAAGTTTAGACAATAATTAAAATATGCTCAAATTAACATGATATTCTACGTTCATCGAAAGTTGTAATACTCGTATATTTACATTATTTTCTCGTTATCAAAGTAAGTTTAAATTATTTTTTACCTTTCTGCGTTATGAACACAAGAATGCAACGAACTTTCCTAGAACATAAATGAAATCATAGGCATTAAGATTAGTTTCAAAATACGTACAACACAGTTTATCTGAAGCCTAAAGTATGATCAAGAATACAGGCACATTGGCACGAAACTATAAGAGTTTTTCCTTGATATCATTTCTAATCAAGAACTCGGCTGAATAGTTCCTAACTAGCAAAGGATATGTTATCGTACTTCTAGCTAGCTGCTATTATGTTAGGTCAGTCATATGCTTTTAAGTACTGTGGCAACAAAATGTCACAAGGAAAAGGGAAGGGGGTGACCTGTTCTTGGGTTGCAACTACTTCTTTCGCATTCTCGAGCTCGGGGAGTTATGTTGTAAAGGTGAAAGAGGTTGTCGTGTCGAGTCGACTTCATTTATGATATTCTTCCCTTCAATTGGACTGCTCATTTTTCGACATGATTTTCGCTTGTTTGACTGCATATGAGAGGTTAAAGATGATATTATATTTCAAATATAGCATACTCAAAAATTAAAAAACTCCCGATAAATAACTACTTTAGTTTTCTTCCAATTATTTTTCTTTACAGTGATTTTCTTCTTTCTTAAGAAAAGATTTGAATTCTTAATCAAATTCTAAAAATAAAAATAAGACAAGAAAACAAAGAAATTCATAAAAAGTAGTGTTTATAAGCTTAAATTTAAAAAACCAAAAACTAAAGCTCATTTGATAACCATTTTGTTTTTCGGGGCCGAGAATTAAGCGAGAATTAAGCTTATAAACACTATTTTTTCTTAACGAATTCCTTTGTTTTGTTATCTACTGTTTATGTATAATTTAAAAAATTATTTAAAAAATTATGTCAAGTTTTTGAAAACTTGATCATCCTATTTTTGGAATTTGACTCAGAATGCCAAAGTTTTCCTAGAAAAGATGAAACCTATAGTAGAGAAACGACGAGAAATTAAGCTTATAATATCTAATTACACCTATGTTTTCTTTGTTTTTTTCATAGTTTTGTGAAATTTTAGCCTAAGTTTACCATAAAATATCGATGCACATATCATGAGGACTCGAAAGTTTACCATAAGAGAAAAACTTCAGAAATCATAATACTTATTAAATGGTACTAAGAAGTTGATGAGCCTGACCTTGGCGGCAGACCCACTGTTGGCCTGCTTATCGCCTGAATGTTGAATTATATCTTCCTGGTGCCGTTTCAGCAACCTCTTGTTCTCCTCGTCAAGAAGCATATTATCTTCATACAACAACTTCACCTGCATAACTAGCATGAATAAGCTATCATTGGGGCCAAATATGGTTCACAAAGCAAGAATCCAGAGAAAAAATGCCCGAAGCTTACCTCTTCTTCAGCTTTTTGAAGATTTGCTCTCAGATGTTCACAATCCTTCTCGACGGCCTTCACGTAAGCAGCTAGTGATAGAGCCTTTTGAGTTGAAGGCTTTAAGCTAGGAAGAAATTTCACAAAGGTTATCAGAGTTAGAAACTTAAACAACTAGTAGTTTTTTTCCTTTTGGGCTTCTCCTTGAGGTTTTTAAAAGATGTCTATTAGGGTGAAGTTTCTACGCCCTTATAAAGAATGTTTCATTCTCCTCCCCAACCGATGTGGGATCTCACAATCCAACCCTTTCAGGGCCCAGCGTCCTCGCTGGCACTCGTTCCCTTTTTCCAATCGATGTAGAACCCCCCAATCCACCTCCCTTCAAGGCCCAGCATCCTAGTTGGCACACTGTCTCGTGTCCACCCTCCTTCGGGGCTCAACCTCCTCACTAGCACATCGTCCGATGTCTGACTCTAATACCATTTGTAACGGTCCAAGCCCACCGCTAACGGATATTGGTCTCTTTGGGCTTTTCCCTTTCGGACATCCCTCAAGGTTTTTAAAATGCGGAGAAGTTTCCACTCTCTTAATGTTTTGTTCTCCTCTCCAACCGACGGGGATCTCACAGTTAAGATGCATTTTTTTTGTCCTCTTGGATATTTTTTCTTGTATCATAATAAAAATAAAATTTCGAAAAAAACAAAAGCTCACCAATTCCACATTTTCATAAGCTTCTGGCTTGAATCTTGATCACTGTTTGCTTCTAAAAATGCATGAGCAGCTGTAGATCTATCATTACAATTACATGTAGGCAAAACCAACTCGAGTAAGTTATCCTCCAAATCTCTACCATCAGAAGATGAATCAACCTGAAGCGTTGTAAAAAATGCACATGCATCAATTTTGACACAGCCAATGGAAGAACTACTATCCTGACTTACGGCTTGCATGCTAGGCTAGGCTACTAGTAAAAATTGGCAACTGACATAATTACGTAATCAACAAAGTAGTTGATGTTCAACGAGTTAACTAAACAGTAATTTTATGATTCCTCGTTCATAGAAATGATCAACATCGACCTTAAACATTTACCAAATACCAATTCCACTAATTAAAGCATTTAACTCACGAGATCATTACTATATGACAATGACCCTTCAACTAATAAACAAACAATCTAAGAGGGGAGATAGACATTGCAAATTCCGTAGGTTCAAAAATATTTTAGCATAGCACTCAACCCAACTTTTACTTAATCTGAATTGCCAGTTTGATATGGACGATTATACCGCAGATATCATGTCCTCCATTGTACTGAACTTTCTTTACTATACAAAAAATAGGACTAACGACACGTGAGTGCGTGAGAGCAGATGCTATTACCCTTTTCATCTCGTATTCATGCTTAAAGAACAGCAGTTCATCTGACAACCGTCTAACCTCTTCCTGCAATTCGTGAAAACGATTCTCAGCCTCCCTTGCACGCTGATCCGCCTCGTTCCCGAACTCCATCAATGCATCTCGGTCGTGATCATATAAAGAGCACTCTCTCTCCCATTTTTCACATTGACCTGTAAGAAAAAGGCACTCCGTAGCCAGTTTTCGATTCTCCTCGACAAATTTCTTCAAAGCTTGTGCGTTCATTGTCGCTTCAGCCTATCAACAACGAAGTAAGAACAGATACGTGAGAAAAACGAAAAACTGAACAGAAAAAAAAAATCAAAGAAAACGAAGAACAAAAAATCAACAACACATACGAACCTTACTACGCTCAATCAACAGATCTTTTTCTTTGATTTTGGACTGCAGAACATCGCAATATTGACCAAGCCGCCTCTGAGCATCCTCAGAGACCCGAAGCTTCAACTCCAGCGTCTCCGCCGACACAGGTAGACCTAATGAATGATCTATTGTTTCCTTGATGTAATTGTCGACTTCAGGAGGAAGATCCATCGCTAAATCCTGTAAACCCTAGCGAGATTCAAAAATTCCAATCGCAAAAACCCCTAGAAACTACAACGACTCCAGCAAGCGACCAGAGAAGTCGTTGAAATCTCGAATACTTCGAATTCAAACGAAGTTCGCCCGGCTCCTTTCAAAAGCTACTGTAATTTTAAACAAATGTGGCCAACCAGACGTAGCCGTTGTAGCACCACTTTGAATGAGAGCACATCGCGTTCATGGGCGGGTCGGTATTAATACTAATTTCTTTTCAAAATATTTGAATTTATAGTGGGCTTGATGACGTGTCGAGCCCATTGGCCCAGAAGCCCAACTTTAAAAATTAAAAAAAAAATCGTTATTTTATTAATTTTTATTACTTTTTATTTTTCGTTCACAAACTTTATAATTTATTTTTTATTTTGCTTTAAATTATAGCGATTTAAAAATATATTATGCGTTTAAAATTTAATTTTGGTCAATTGACTTTTAGAAATTATATTTATTTAATTTAATAATTAATGCCATGCATCAACTTAATTTTGATTTAATTTCTTCAAATAAGTAAAATAATAAAATTTAAAACAAGATTTTCAAATTATTATTTTACACAAATATTA